ATATATATATATATCAGTTGAATTCTTGGTTTCTAATGTGGTTTGGAACATATATTTACTGTTAAAGTAACTTAAGAAAAAGCATAAAGAGAAGGCCCTGTAAGAAGGAAGCTTTTACAGAGTTGAGTCCATCATTATTGGGAGGAAGTAGAGTGATCCTGTCCCACACGGGCATATCCTCTGGTATCCGGGGAGCATATTAGGAACCGGGAAGAAAACCTTGGGTTGGGACAGAATATGTTTGGTGAGATTTGGTTCTGGTTTAACTTAACTTGATTTGGCTTTGTGTTTCCCTTTTTTGCAGTGAAATATGAAGAGTTATACTGCTTTTCATTCAATCCCAAGCTGGATAAAGAAGAAAGAGAACAAGGCTGGATGCTGATTGATCTCAGTGAAGAATACAAGCGAATGGGCCTCCCTAACAACTTTTGGCAGCTCAGTGATGTGAATAGAGACTACAGAGTGAGTGGAGACATTTAGCAAACTCTAGATACCTAATCTGCATGAAATCATTAGAATTCATTAGAACTGCTGACCAGTGCAGACCTAAGCATGAAAATAAGCAACTTCAGATATCTGAGCATGATTTTTATGTACTGTAAATTTTGTTGATCTTTTTCCAGGACTCCCATGTTTATTGCTGGCTTTATTTTCTTAGTTGTACCGACAGTCAGAAAGTTTGAAAAAGGGAACTTCGGAGATCATCCCCACTATACCCTCTAAGGTCAAGGAATTGGAGTCTCAGGGAGACCCAGTGGAGTCCTTCTGGCCAAGCAGTTGATGGAAGAGCTGGCTGGGACCTCACTCTCCCATCACATCTTTTTATAGCACAAGGAGTGATTACTGGGGAAGTCAGAGAGACTCTGATGGAAGTTTGGCACCAACTCCCTGATGTGTTCACTGGGTTCTTGATTGGTACACAGGGTCACCAAGAAGCTCCCTAGAGAGATATGGAGAAATGTGTCTGCATTTGTGAGAAGGAATATGCAGAGGAGTGACCAGTGAACCCTGTGCTGTCCCCAGTGAGGGCTTACACATCAGTTTTGGGTTCACCACTCTTAAGATGTTTAAATAATAAAATAATGTAAGAACCTTCTGGAGAGTTTATTGAAGAGGGAGGAAAATAAAAATACCCACATCCCATTTGCTTAACAGTCTTCTGGGTTTTATTTTCCTCTTTAGTACTAGGGATTAAAACCAGGACCTTGTGCATATTGACAAATGGGCTACCTCCCTAGCTATATACAAATAATTCCTCTGTCTTACAGTTATCTTTTGTTTTTCTGTATCTGTGTACTTTAATATTTTTTCTAATCTAAGTAATGCTTAATTTTTTTGGCCATTTACTTGGATTCTTCTTTGAATTGCCTATTCACATGCTTGCTCTTTTTTCTCTAATATTGTTTACAGTTGTCTTATTATAGAAGCTCTCTATATTGTAGATAATTCTCTGTTATCCTATCTGTAGCTGTTGGAAGATCAATAATCTGTACCTAGGGAGTCTTTTAATCCTCAGAAGTTTTGAGTCAGTCTTTTTTTTTTAAATCATGTTTTTCATTTCAGCATATTGTTGAAGGAGAAAACTGGTATGTTTGCCAATGTTTGTCTATTTTTCCTTTTCTTTCTTTTCATACTGGGGTTTGAACCAACAGCACTCTACCACTAAGCTATATCCTCAGCTCTCTTTTAAAATTTGAAATAAGATCTTGTTAAATTGCCTAGTATGGCTTTGAAGTTGTGATCTTTTTGCCTCAGCTGAGTTCTTGGAATTACAGATATATACCACCACATCTGACTTTTGTCCAAATTTGACAATGTCCTTGTTTCATATTTATAATTTTACTAATTATAATTACTCTACTTTTATAATAAATCTTACTCTCTGACAAGTGAGGTCTTTTGTCCTAATTCTCTCAAATTTTTAAAATATATAGATTATTTGGAATAGAATGGATTGCCATGATACTGACTTTTATTTATGATTACACTTAAATTTAACAACTGTTGACTTAATCATTGTAAAATATCTGGCTAATATAATCATAACAGTTTATTCTTACTAGTACCAAACTTTACACTGAATTTTTAGTCTTGAAGAGAAATTCAAGTTTAGTAAACTAAACATTTCATTTTAAATGACATGTTCCTGGACAAAGAAGAAAATGAAGCTGAGCCAAGTCTAATAGAATATTATTTTCTTCTAAATACAGGTCCTTTTTATTTTTTATGAGATTTCCTTCTCACATTAGCACCCCAGTCACAATTGCAAGGCGTGTTACATAGCATTTCTTTTCTATAGCAATGAACAGCAAAACAAAGCCAAGATTAACAGACAGTTGAAAAACAAAATGTCAAAGCTTAGGGGATTTTCTGATTTTATTTCACTAAGATAAAAGATGTATTTTTATTACCAACTTAGAAATTGGATAAAAATTGTTCCTTGAAGAAAATTTCTGACTAGTAGTCCATTGGTAAGGTTTTATCATAATCCATTCCTTGTGATTTTGATTTCATGGTTGAGAAATGTATTTTGTCTTTCCTCCCATTACAAATTATTTTATAAATCTCACAAATAGTTTGAAGTAATTGGGGCAAATGGTGTCGTGTGATGGAGAAGAAAATCATTGCCAGTGGTGGAAAATGACATTGACTTGACATTAAATATAAAAACTTAACATTCCAGAACCAGTTATGCCATTTATGTATTCTGTGGTCTTAGAAAGTCCACATTATCATGACATTTTAGCACTTACTTATAGAAATCTAAACTAGGATTTGTTTTAAATCTGTTACACTTTAGATCAAGAAGTTTCACCAAAGGATTCATGTGTTCAGAGGCCTTTTGGAAGATGATTGGATCCAGGATGCAGTGTACTCATTACTGTGTTCATCTTTTGATAGTTCCTAGCTTCATGTGCAGGGTGCTGCTTGAAGGGAGCAGGTCACTCAATGTGTGGCCTGGAAGGGTGTAAGTGTCCTTGTCCCTGGCCCCTTCATGTCTCTCAGTCTTCTAGCTGCTGGAGAGTTAGCGGCTCTCCTCCATGACACCCTTCTGCCAAGCCCTTTCTGCCTTGAAGCCAGATGGCCACGGATTGAAACCATGAGGCAAAATCAACTTAATCATAGGCTAGGTATCATTTTGTCCCAGAAACAAGAAAGCTAACCAATGCAGTATCTAACCTTGAAATTATCTTTTTTTACATTTTAATATTTATTTTGAAATTTTCTAAATAAAAGAATTGAAATTCATCATGAGATTAAATTATTAAACTCTTTGAAATAAATTTTAATCTAAACCAGTCATTTTATTGAAGCTTGTTTATTTTCCTACAACTATATTTTATACATTATTTATAAATAATAGAATAACTATTTCAATTTCTGACAACAAACTTACTGCAACATGCTCAATTGAGTGACTGTTCTTCACTAAATACAGAAGACTGACTAAATCCTGGGATAGCATCTCTGACGGATGGTGGCCTGCCACAGTAAACGTATTTACTGAAAGATTATACCAAGGTCAACAAAGATCAGTTGTTCTGGGAATGTAAAGTTTTCAAGGCCAAAAAATGTGTAATTTACTTCTGCCCCAATGCACAATAGTAATTCCGGAAATATAGTAAGAAGTCAGTAAAAACTTATTAAGTGAGTGAAAGAATTACTGAAAAAATTCTATTATGGTTTGTGTCTAATTGTTCCCCCTGAAGCCTCAGGTTAGTTATGGGGCTGGTGGAGCAACCAGTGGCTTGAGGACCGGGGCTGGGCCCGAGGGGTGGGGCCAGAGAGGCACAAACCATTAAACTGGCTGGCCTGTGCTTGCTGAGAGAGGTGGAGAGGGTCATCCTAGACATGGCAGCGCCCCAGCCTCTCCTCCAGTGTCTTGAAACCTCTAGTAATTGTGAGCTAAATAAATATTTCCTTCCCTCATTTTGAGTGTTGGGTATTTGTCCCAGCAACAAGAGAAGAGTAACTAAGACAAATTCCTTTGGGCTGGACAGTACGGAAACATGCAGGCACATCTACCAGGCTAATTTGTTTAGTGAGGGACAAAGAAGCCAAAATCATTAACATACAAATCTGTTCTCATTGATGACTAAGATGAGAGAATAAAGAGAGAAATTTGAAGAAAAATGCAAACTCAGAAAAAAATGTTTTTACTTTTATAAACTTTTCCTATTCTTTTAAAATTTTCTTTTCTGATTTTCAAAATCAAACAAAATCTTGGGGGGCATATTGAAAAGTTTTATCAAGCATAACTGGAATTTTTTTTTGGTGTGTTAGTGATTATCAGAATCATAACTACGGTTCTATGAGGTTGTTACAAATATGACAGCAGTTCTATCTAAGATTATTTTTTTGTGATTAAAAATACATAATTTAAAATTTTCCATCCTAACAATTTTTAAATATATAATTTATTGATATTGAGTATATTCACTTTATTATGCAACTAATCTCTAGAATTCTTTTTATCTTACAGAGTCATAACTCTTTATATACCCAATCCCTGGCACCAACCATTCTACTTCCTGTATCTATGGATTTAACTATTTTAGATACTTCATTTAAATGGAATCATATAGTATTTTCTGTCTGTGGCTGGCTTATGTCACTTAATGACCTCAAGGTTCCTCTATGTTGTAATATGTGACAGAATCCCCTTTCCTCTTAAGAATGATTAATAGCCCATTGTTGTTGGTATGTTACCTTTTGCTTGTGCATTCCTTTGTCGGGGAACGTTCATGTTCAATTCAGCTCTTGGCTATTGTATAGTAATTTTGTTTTTAAATTTTTCAGGAAGTTTCATGCTGTTTTTCATAGTGGTTGCCTTATTTTACAATCCCACCAACAGTGTAAAAGGTTCCAGTTTCTCTATCCTAGCCAATACTTACTATTTTATGTTTAATTTAGTGGTGATCACTTTAACAATTAAGTGTAAAGACCTGTCATAGCCTTGGGTTTCATTTTCCTGATGACTAGTGATGTCAAATATCTTTTTGTGTGCATGTTGACTATTTGTGTGTCTTTGGAGAAATGTCTATTCAAGTCTTCTGCCCATTTTTAATCAGGTCATTTAATTTTTTGTTGTTTTTGAGTTGAAGGCATTTGTTATGTATTCTAGATAATAACCTTCGTGGGAAATATCTAATATACAAATATTTCTTCCTAGTTTATAAATTATCATTACATTCTTTTGATTATGATCTTTTACATACAAAACTTTTAAAATTTTATGAAGTCACATTTATCTTTTTTCTTTCATTGTCTGTGCTTTTGATTTCTCAAATACATAGGAAATCAGTGGCAAGTCTGATGTCATAAAGCTTTTTCCTTCATAGGAGCTCTATAGTTTTGGGTCTTACATTTAAGACCTCTAATCCTCCATTTTGAGTTAATTTTTGCATCTTGAGTAAGAGTCTATCTTTGGTTTTTTTGTGTGTACGAATATTCAGTTTTCCTAGTGCCATTGTCCTTTTCCCAGATTGGTCTTAATGACCTTGTTGGAGGTTGTTTGACAATAGATACAGTATTCATTTCTGGGTTTTCTATCCCATTATCTGTCTTATTCTGAATACCAGTATCATAGTGTTTGAATACAGTAAAACATTTATGGTCTTACAGTATGCTTTGGAGTTATGAAGTGTGAGTCCTCTGACATTGTTCTTTTTTAAAAATTGTTTTGGCTATATAGACTCACTTGATAATTCATGCAAATTTTTGGATGGACTTTTCTATTTCTGTAAAATAGGCCATGGGATTTTCATAAACATTGCTATGATTTGTAGGATCATACTACGTGGGTGGTAGTATGGCTATTTTAACAATATTGTCTTCTAATTCATGAACACAAGATATCTTTTCATTGGTTTGTAACCTGTTTTAATTCCTTGCAGTTTTCATTGTAAGATTGTGATTTATTATATTAATTTATAATTTAGTGTGTTGTCTGCTTTATAGAAAGTAGGATGAATTTTATTTTTCTATTCCCATAAAAGTTATATTTTGAAACTGAGCTAATTGGCACTGTATGTTTACCCCCATGGTGCTACCTAGTGCTTTGCATGTATGTACTCAAAAAATGTCCTGACCTACAGAGGTTTTCTCCCTAAACCAAGAATTCAGGAATCCTGTAACTGATTTATTCCCAGAGGAAGACCATGATAGCTAGTCCAAGTCTGACCATTGTTGATGATTTTAGTTTTGAACTCTTGGTCATGGGACATGCCCAGCCATGAAAGTCTGCTTTCTCCTACTCTGGACAGCCAGAGCGCAAGCAGTCTCAGAGCGGAGGAGCCTGTGCTCTCTACCCACGTGAAGGAAGAAGGTATTGGGAACACAAATAACAGAACATACCCTGAGTTGGGCTGAGGAGAGAACGGGCCCTGGATTTTTATCTTCTCTCCCAGTCTTATTCTAGTTCTGCCATAGTTCATGACCTGAACCAGGCTGGACATTTTCTGTCCATAAGAAACCAGGAGAGGGCCTTCCTGGAAAATTATGCAGAACTTTGGCCTTCTGATCCCCTTTTGTGTTTCTTTTTCTCCTGCTCTGTCTTGTTTACTACCAGCCTGGTAACAAAGACAGGAGAGACAGCAAGGGACAATGTTATCGCAGAGCAATTGATAAGAACTTTGGAGGCTGAGATCTCTCTTCTTGTTGGCTTTAATCTCTTTAGTCCTGCAGAGCAGTAAGGATAGATGGAAATGGAAAGATCTGTATATCAAGTATTTCCCCCATTGCTACACTTACTTAAGGATTTTTGATATTCCTAAGAAGATACCTGAGAGGGCCAGCCAGATAGCTCAGCGGATTAAAGCACCTATACTTAGGCAGATGCAGGGACCAGGATTGGATCCCCAGCATGGGTTCTGGCCCCACCCCGGGGTGCACTGAGAAGGTGATTGAGACTGGGCATGGTGGCACATGCCTGCAATCCCAGCACTTGGGAGGCTGAAAACAGGAATGATCACTACAAGTCTGATCTGTGTAGTGAGGCCTTTAGACCCTGTACTAAAATATATTTTTTTTTAAAAAAAGAAGAAGATACCTGCGTTCTAGGAAATAAGCGATTACTCAAAGCCCAGGAAACTGCTATCCTCATGTTGCATAAAGATTGATGTGAAAATGAAATATGTGTTGAACAACAGTATCAACTATAACAACAGTAACAATGGTATTTCTTTGGGCTTTAATGGATTATAGTGTACTTTGTCAGGAGTGTTATCTGATTTGACCCTTTTGTCAACCCTTTGAAATATTATTGCTGTAGTATCAGTTTTAGAGATTAGAAAACCAACATGCTCAGTGTAATTTGGCTTTCCCAAGGTCATAAAGTTGCTGAATCAGAGCCAGATATTAAACTGCTGATCTGTTTCTAAAATACGAGACATCAGAGTTTCCACCATGGTAATTGTTGCCGGACAGAACAGATCACTTCTTACCACTTATAAAATTGACACCTAAAAAACACAGATACAGCTTTGATAGCATATTGTGTAGTACATTAGGAAATCAGATCTGGAAATCTGCAGCATGTACTTGGAGGACCAAAGAGGAGTTTTCCTGATGGAAGGAACTTGGGTTCATTGTGGAAGAATGGATGAGATTTGAGAAAACAGAGGGGAGAGGTATCCAGGGAGGACAGAGGAATGTGCACTTTGTGTACCAGGAACACAGAGGTAACCTGGTGGCTTAGCGACTGCTTACATTTTAGGAATATTGTCCCCTGAGTCAGACTATCTTTCTGTGAAATGCAGACAGCTAAAGTTTTCTTAGCTGCCAGGATGCAAAATTACAATTTGTTCCTTTTTGGTGAAAGGAATGCTCAGTTGTTACTGTCTTCCCTCATATAAAGAGCCCTTCGACAGGGGAGACAGTGCATAAGGACAGGACACTCAGGGCTGTTTGCATTCCCTCAGTATCACTATGTAGAACCAATAACACTTCATTTCTCTGAGGTGAATTTGGGTTTCTGTGAAATGGCCTCATCTATAATTTGGTTGAGAAAACTTAAACATGCAACTTGTAAGTATAGTGACATGGAATTTGGAAAGCATTATTAGGTTGCCTAAAAGTCCTTTTGTATTTTCTGGTGATAGGTTTGTGACTCTTATCCTACTGAACTGTATGTTCCCAAATCAGCTACAGCACACATCATAGTGGGAAGTTCCAAATTCCGGAGTAGACGGCGATTTCCTGCCCTTTCCTACTACTGTAAAGATAACCATGTAAGTCTCAAGTCATGCTTTTGTTTTACACTTTACTTTTCTCTTTTATCACAAGTACACATTTTCTAGCTGCTTCTGCTTTGTGTGTGTTTGGGGGTTAGAATTCTTAAAGGTGTGTGAATATTCCTGTGTAGGATATGATACAGTGCAAGTATGCTTAGCTCATTCTGTCTTGTAGAAACTGGCTTTTCATGTTTATGTGGTAATAAAATAAAGGGATAGATTCCAACAATACCTAAACTTAATCAGCTGCAAAAACATTGTTCTCTTTTAAGGGAACCTCTGGGGAGGCTCTGTGCCTATTCTAGCAGTGCTAGAGATCCTTGTGCATGGTTATTTTAGGAAGCCCCTGAAGTCTGTGACATATATGTTTTCTTTATTTCTTTCTTAAATGATCATGTTATTTTGAGTCTTTTCAGTGCAATTTTTGTTTATGGAATTTTATTTTTAAATATTTCTAAGAATTATTTGTATGTATTATTTCTGATGAATATTACAAATATTAGTTATAAAAGCTAGAATCAGGCTTGTCTATAACTAACAGAAACCCAAAGTGACATTGGGTGTAATAGGCTAGAACTTAATTTTCTTGCACATAGCACTGTGCAGGTAGGTAGGCAGTGCAGGCCTGGAGTCCTGGCCATGTATCCACCTAACCATCAGGGACCCAAGCTACCCCCAGCTTTTTGCCACTTCTAGGATCTGGTCCACATCTGAATGGGACAAGAGGTGGTATGGGTAGGTACCATCTGTTGCCTCCATTCTCCTGGCAGCAGGTGAAGGATGGGTTACTGGGGAATGCCTAAGTTTTCAAGAAGGCTCCAAGAGACTGGCATGTAACACATTGGCTCACATCTTATTCATCAGAACTTTAAAGGGTAGGTGAGAAAGTATGGTCGTACTGGGTAGCCATGTAAAGCCCGAAAAGTTAACATTTCTGTGGAGGATACGAAAACAAACTTGGAGAAATAAAAACGGCTTTTGACACTTGAGCTCTAGCCAGGTGAAACTGCCTTTATTTTAGAGTTAAATCCAAGCAATGTAAATAGTTGAAAGAAGATGTGTGTATGTGTATCAGTGTACATGCCTAATTTTAGATACTTCACAAAATTTCATATCCTTATGAATTCTGCTTTCTTAAGAGTTTTGTATCATCTCTATTCTAAACAGTGCTTCAGTTCTGTGTGGGCTGAAATATATTTGGAGTTAAACAATATAGATGTTACTCAAATATTTCCTTTCTTTCCATCCTATTTCATCCAATGATAAAGAAGGAAGAAGTAAGAGGGAAGAGCCCAGGCAGGGAGAGAAATTCCTTTATTGTTGTTTCAGAGGTGTGATGGGCAGAGTATCTTAACAGTGGGAGCAGTACATATTTTACTGCTTTTTAAAATTCTTAAGGGAATCTGGTTTGGTCAAGGTCAATGTATTATAATAGGAAAGGGGTATAATGCTTTAAAATGGTCAGCTTTTAGCAGTTCACCTCGGAGACTAGCTTCTTGTGTTGATCTCAGACCTAATTTCCCACTTCTGCCTTCAAGAATGCTTTTTTTCTTGACCTTCACCTGAAAATAAACTTGCTCAGCAGCTAATTACATTTTAAAATAAGTGATTACTGGGTTGAAAGCCTTAGCTTTTTTACAAGGTACAAAAGAGAAGGGTGCTAGGGAGTTAGCTCAGTAGAATAAGTGCTTGCCTGGCAATCCTCAGTTCTGGAAAAAAAAAAAAAAAGTACAAAAGAGAAATATGTTTCTAGTTTGATTGCCTTAGAGAAGTACTTATATGCCATCTGTTTTCCCACCCCCACACAATCTGTTTTTATGGAAAAATAATGGCCAAATTTGTACTTTGTAATGGTGATCAGATTTTGCTACGAAATTTCATTATATAGATAGTTCTGGTTGGGTAAGGGATTTTCCTAAAGTTCAGTATTACTCATGAAGGTAGATTTCTGTGATTAAATAGAAGATAAGAGAAGTGTCAAAGGAAACCCATCTCTAGAACAGGCAGGGTTCCATAAAAAATGAACAAGTACAAATTCTATAATTCTGTTTATTTTTTTTCTTCCGTTTGATAGTTTTACCTATCACATAGTGTGTTTTTCTACCCTAATGAAATTTGTGCTTGTGAATATCATATTTTTTTATTGTTAAAATACTGTCTCATGCTTATCTTTACTAAAAGGACACTTTATTTTGATGGTGCAGTGATCTGGCTAATGCTGGGCAGTGGGAATTGGTGTTAGATTAAGAGAAGCTTAAAGTAAACACCATTTTTCGAATCTGAAATCTTGTGGAGGGCTCTGATATAAATGTCCCTGGGCATAGTACACGATTCCCTTTGGATCCGCTGTCATCCTCGGTGGTGTTATCGTCATATTCTATTCACCTGTTGGTGAGTTTGGGATTCCCACCTCAGCAGCAAGTGATGGACATGCCATGACACTTGCTGGTGACAGAGATTGAGATCCACAACAGGTTTATTAGTCACACAGACTGACTCAGTAGAGGGGAAGGGCATTACATGCTATGAAAGGCCACATTAATACTGCACTGAAGAACAGAGTGACAGCCAGGAGCTGTAAGGGGTGGCCTGTGGGGACAGGCTTGTGTGAACAGCATCCTCAGGGGTGAACAGGAGCTGTCCTGGCCCACTGGGTCAGGAGGCCCTCTCTGTCTTACTGGATGTCAAGGCAACCCACAATATTAGTTTTGAGCCTTATATCACACAATGGTTGTATACAAACATTTGATCTCCCTTTGCAGTCAAAGAGCTTTACAAATCACAGAGATGTATAAATGTTCCTCATGCTCAGAATTCTGTGTATGTCTGTAATTCAGAGCTCTTAGAATTGCTGTATCCTTTGATTTTCACTATGATGTTCTAGTTTTTTAAAGCTATTTTGCTTTAAGTTGTACAAAATATGTGCTGAATTCAGAGCATAAATTTCTGGCACACTCCTTAAGAGACCTTGTCCCTCTTTCTTATAGTTAATAGTTTTTTAAATTTTCTCTGTTAGAAACAGTTCTAAGAGTGTTATAATATTATGTACCTCACACCCTTTGGGTTTAATATCATTATGTATTTTGTAGATGAGAAAACTGAGATTCAGATAAAGTATTACTTAGTAAGATTGTATGGCAAGTTAGAACAAAACTAGGATCAAAAGGTAGATTTTCTTAAATACTGTTTTAATGCTGTATATTAAGATGCTTGAGTTGTTTCTTTCCGGGGGCAGTATATTATTTTGGGTAAAAATTCAAGATTCAGATCTGTTTTCCCTGGTAACTACCAGTTCTTCAACCTCTTTGTGTTTTGGAGTGCTTCATCCAAAAATAATAGCAGCTTGCTGTTTATAATAATTAGGAAGACTAAATAAAAATATATGAATGTTTTACAATAGTGCCTGCCAAGGAAACATTGCAATCATGTTGGATATTTTAATTAGTAGCATGGTAAATAAGAGGCATCCTTCTAAGAGGGTGGTGGGGGTTAATCCTGTTCTCAAGTCACTGACATCCTAAGAAGTGGGATCAGGTGATGATAGTACTCTTTCAGTAGTGGCACTGTCTAGGCGGTATAGAGTACACAGAGGTGCTTGGAGCCCATATACTGTTCTTTGCAAAATCGAAAACTGCAGCAGTCACTGAGTCAGTGAAGAATTACATTTGGAGCACATCAGAAGTTATTAAGAAAATGAACTGCAAAATACCAAAAATGTAATCTGTGTAATAAACTCATGGCTAGTCTAATTTATTGACCATGTTTCATAATGTAACAGTTCTGATATAACCTCTCATTTAAAACTAGCTGCTCTCTCCCAGAAGATAATTAGTAGTAGTTGTCATGGAGTTGCTTCATTTCATAATTGGAATTTTATTAGCTTAGATTAATAACTGTGATTCTCTGGCATATTCTCAGTACTCAAATCTATTCCCACTCTTTTCTAATTATTCTGATAGAATTTAGCAGATTAGTGAGAGAAGTCCTTAAGTATTTCTTTACTCTGATAAAGCATCCTGTGATGCCAGGTCAGAATTCCTTCTCCCGCCCGAACTCCCTCAGAGTATTGTGGCACACTTGGGCCTCATCAAGAGCAAAAGAACTGTACCCCCCACAAAGCAGTCTGTGGCACTTTCCTTTCTTCCCACTGGATGCACCTTGTGTTTGCTCCTTAGTTCCTTTTCATCCCAGCTGTCACTTTATCTTGTGTCTGGACCTTGCTCTAGCTTGCTGTCCTCTCTCTCATTTTCAGACCCTCTGACATCTTTCCTTCCTACTGCTTAAGAAATAGGCAACCCTTGGTAAGTTGGCTGCACGTGTGCTTTGCTTCCCCTTTGCCATACACTAACCTCCCTGAGTCCTTAACCTGGTTTCAGGCCTGAATTTCCTTCAGCCAAATCAGAAATTGCCCTTTTTGTCTACATAATAGTACTGGATCTCCTTAGGCAGTCATATGTATTGCCATTCTACAATTATTGGTTGTTACAGCTAGTGAGAAGTATCTCTTCCTTCTTTAATGATGAGAATTGAAGCTCACACGTACAAGCCCCCTGAGCAAGCAGTGACATCATGTGCTTTTGCTTGGATGTCCCCTTCTTGGCCTGTCCAGAGGGGCTCTCTTCTTTACTGTCACTTCTTACATGGTGGACCTAAGAATCCCTATGGAGATTTATTTTTAACTGAAATGTTAAAATGTAAATCTATAAGAAATGGTTTGCCATAAAATCATGGGTTTTATAGCTGCGAATTTATTTTTATTCACTTATTTATCACTTGGGAACTTGTTTATGTTATTCTGCTTATCATTTAATAGTGCAATAGCTGAGATTCGATTCCTGGAATGCTGTGCTGGCCCCACCCCAGGGACACACTGAGACAGTGATTGAGACTGGGCGTGGTAGCATGCGCCTGTAATCTCAGCACTTGAGAGGCTGTAAACAGAAGAAACACTGTGAGTCTGATCTACATAGTGAGACCCTGAACACCCTATAGACCTGCCCTAAATACAGAGAAAAAAAAAAATAGTGCAATGAATAATTATCACTTGGTGTGTACAGAGGATTGCTTCTAGGATCTCTCTCAGCTACCAAACTCTGAGCATGCATACATCTCTGTTATAAAATGGTTTTGTATTTATATATGACATGCACACATCCTTTTGTATACTTAAATCATTTCTGGACTATACCAGATGCAATATCAATAATTGTTATGCCATATTATTTAAGAAATAGTGTCAAAAAAAGATCTGGATATATTCAGTGCAGATACACATTTTCCCCCCAAATATTTTGGATCTACGTGAGTTTAATTCACAGATATAAAATCTATGAATATAGAAGGCTAATTTTATTCTGTTAGAATCATGGATTATAGGAATTGCAAGGCAGAATAAGAAGTTTGTCATTCGGAACATAGTGGAGGCTGCCGCTGTCAGGGACACTTCTGAAGCGAGTGTCTTCCATGGTTATGTGCTTCCCAAGCTGTATGTGAAGCTGCATTACTGTGTGAGTTGCGCCATTCACAGCGAAGTGGTCAGAAATCGATCTCATGAAGCCTGCAAAGACTGAACTCCTCCACCCTGATTTAGACCTGCTGGTGCTGCCCACGACCTCCACCAAAGCCCATGGAAGGGGATTAATAGACTGAAGAAAACTCTCTTGAGAAAGAAATAATAAATTGAATGTTATACTTTATATTAAAAAATATATATATATAGACTGGTGCCAAAGAAGTAGGTTGTTTCTAAGCCACACTGGAATCAGCCCAGGTATATAAACCTACCAGTGAACTGAGCTTTTGTTACTGTGAAAATTTTCCATTTAGATTTAGAATCTGTGAAAGGAAAAGAATTTGTTCAAAGGGAAGGAAAAATTGGGATGAGGAAAAGGATAGAAGAAGGGAAAAGGTTACATATATATACAGGATAGCATGGTTAATTTTATTGCTGATTCCTGCTGGTCTATTGAAAGGAGCAGTTTTTTCTTTTTAATTTATAACCTTTTTTAAAAACCAATTTTGCATGTTTACATCAGGAAATCTAAACAACTAACTTGAAGATAACATACAATACGACAACCACAAGCATTGTCCAATTCCTGTTATTTGTATAGTGAAGTTCTGTATCATTTCTAATTCTTTTTAACATTTTATATTTTCCTTAAACATAATAAACAATAAAGAATTAGAAGCAATATTCTGGATATTTTTAAATAGGCTAGTTGGATGACAAAATAATTAAGATGTGTTATGTACATATATCATTCCTCATGAAGAATGTAATCATTATGTACTGAAAACATGTACTAGTAAAGATGCAAAGAAGTTATATGTGTGTATACATATATATGTATATATACATACATATATATACACACATACATTCATATATATATATATATATATATATATATATATTCATACATATTGGAAGTCAAACATAGATTAAAAAGTGGTGTGACATTTTTGAATAACAAAATTTATTTGCTAAATAATAAAAAGTGAACAAATTTCTGTCAAAACTAGGCTAGTTAGAAAATTATGAAAAGCATTAAAAATATTTTTTCTACTCTTGCCATCAATAGTGTCCTGTAAGTTTTAGGCAAGTAGTCATTTATTTTGTTTTTCTACTTCCAGCAGAAAAATGAAGCTATATTGGTGAAAAGGAAAGTAGGTTATTTAAATAGCTTTAAATTTCATAACTTGAATCCTATCTAAACATCATTGTACATTCCTAGTGTCTTAACAGAGGAAGTTTCTGTACTGCTTGTCCATTTAGTGGTTTCTTTGACCTGAATTAAAAATAAATAAATCTCAATTGCCAAAAATTTTTATATTTTCAAAAGCTCGATTGGGGCAGAGGTGAACCAGGGGCTCTTTGTTCCAGAGACACCCCAGGGGTCTTCATGCTGCACAGTTACCTGACAGTGAGTGCTATGTTGCTCTGTCCTGTCCCCCAGGCCTCCATCTGCAGGAGCAGCCAGCCCCTGTCTGGTTTTAGTGCCCGGTGCCTAGAGGATGAGCAGATGCTACAGGCCATCAGGAAAGCCAATCCAGGAAGCGACTTCATTTATGTTGTGGATACTCGTCCCAAAGTAAGTATCACTATTTCAGGGCATGAAGCTGGAGCCCATCTTAATGGACCTGCCACCACTTGACTCTTGCTACTTCATTTGTGAAGGGCCCAGCTGGGCTGCTTTCAGGAGGTACTAAGCTCCTGAAGGGGTGGACCATGTCAAGTGTATTATATTTTCCCTCCTTGTAACATTGTGTTGAGCATATAGTATGACACACAGTAAATGAGGCGATGTAAGTTCACGGTTGCTCTCCTCGGTAAGCCCAATAATTGCTTCATTTGTTTCTAAAGCATCCCTCTCTGCTCTGGCAAGAGGAAATTCCCTGTGGAGCCCCAGCAGTTCTGTTTATATGAGGTATTTTGCTATACTTTCCCAAATTCTACTTGTGGTAACCTATAGCAATGATCTGGAAGGATCTATAAGAAATATTGTTTAAAAAGGTCATGAGGGCCAGGGAGATGGCTCAGTGGAATAAGCGCTTCCCTGGCAAGCACAAGGGTCTGAGTTCAATCCCCAGTTCCACAAAAAAAAAAGGTCATGAATAATACATATTTTGTTATAGTTTATTAGAAAACCTACACATGTAAAAATGTGTAGAAAAAATATGAAAAGATGAACATTAAACAATTTAAAATTGCATAGAGAAAGGAGTAAGATTTGGGAAAGTAGACTTTCTAGTTGTCTCTTCTTAGAAAAAAATTTTATGCTTACATGTATAGTAACATATTACTTTTCTGATATAATAAAACATCTAGTAGGACCTAACAGCTTATCACTGAGAAGTAAGCTAAATTGATCTTACACTTACTTCCTGTTCAACTTTTTATGTTTAAAAGGAGAGTGAGTGTTGAGTGTGGTTTCCAGTTTTGCTTTTTACACCTAGTTCTTTCAAAATCAGTCAACAAATGGAGTTCCTAGGGGCATGTACCAGCGAAGGTGTGGAAACAGATAATCTATAAGTGTGGTGAATATGTAGCACAAAATAAGACAGCAGAATGAAGTGCCTCCTAGTCAATTGTATTTGACAATGTCATTTCTGGCCAATAGTGAAAAAGTAGCTGATCCTGTGAGTGACTGGAGAGGAAGTTGTTCCTTAGCTCTGTCTTTGCATCTGGGTGTGGAAAGGAGTCCTAGCGATACTGTTAAACAACAAAAGTGAGACACAGAGACTTCTATCAGAAGAAAATGGGGAGAGTAATGCCAAATTGTTAACAGTGGGTTTTTTTTTCCTGTTGGTTGAAAGATAGATTTTTTTAAAGGAAATTTCTTACTTTTTAAATTACAGTTGAAATTTTTTCATCATAAGATTAAAGGAAAGGAAGGGCCCCTTAAATATTAAATGTAAAATTTGTATATGACCAGAAATTCCATTCTTGGGTATTTACTAAGAGAAATGAAAACGTATGTCTAAAAGGCCAGAAAACCTCTAAAACCTAAGTAAACCTTGAAATTGGTACACTAAGTGAAAGAAGCCTCCAGTTTACATGAAATGTCATGTAATGGCAAATTCATAGGAATAGGAAATAAACCATTTCCTGGGGCTGAGGGAAAGGAAAGAAATAAGAGTGACTGCTAATGGAAGAAGAAATCTCTTTGGGGCAATAGAAATAGCCTAAAGTTAAATTATGGTGATGGGCCTGGGGAGATAGCTTGGTGTCTGAGCACCTGCCTGCCAGGTTTGATTCCTGGTACCATGTGTCATCTTGGCTCCGGATGCTCTGTTCCAGCCACCAAAACTGAGCATGGTGGCATATGTCTGTTATCCCAGTGCTGGGGAGGCTGAGACAGGAGGATCACTATGAGTCCAGCTGCATAGTGAGACCTTATAAAAATTATGGTAATGGTTTCACAACAATATGAGTATACCAAACTCCACTGAATTTTGCACTTCAAGTGGGTGAGTGGTATGTCATGTGAATTATATGCCAATGAAATATTTTTTAAATGTAAGATATGAAAACATTATAACAGGAAAGAAAAATAATAGGCCCAACAGTGAAGGTCACTTAAAAGCAGAGTGTTAAAAATAGGTACTCATAGTCTATACTTGTGGGCACTGTGAGAACTGGATGAAGTCATGTTACTCAGACCTTCGTAATTTTCACTGCTCTTGGTCTCATTTCACCCAAATACTGTGGTTCCTGTCCAGAATCACTTAACACGATATTTTCCTAGAATAAGATCAGTGTCCTGCTGATGCATTTGACCTCAGAACAGTCCCGTCTACTTCTGGACAAAGTGCCCTGTAGGATACATGTGTGTGCAGTAGTGAGAATGGAGTTTGTCTCGGCTTTCAGATCAGTGAACCAGTCATGAAGATCAATAATGAAACAGGTATTAGGGCTACATCACATTCATATTTAGTAGATTGTATATAAATTGTTCTTTCCTTTTAAATAAATTCTCAATGCACACAGAGAAAAGAGTGAAGCTAGGATCAAAAATAGCTTGTCTGCTTGAAATTTTTCACTTGAAAGATGTCAAATCTGACTTTTACTGTTGTAGTTCAGTTTGTGCTTTTTTCCCTCTACTTAGTCTTTTTAAACTCTTTCCTTCAAACCCTGATTGCTTTCCCTCCCCTTCCTTATAATTTTTCTGTAACTCAAGCATCTTTGAACTTGCTAATAGTTGCAGATGATTGAATATATGCCTAGTTCTCAGATGTACTGAAGACAAGATTAAAAAAAAAAAAAGAAAGGAAAAGACAAGAGCTTTACTGGGCTTAGAAAGCCTGTTTTGCCAGCTTTAAATAAAAACAGATTCACCTGCTAATTTAAGAACCAGTGAGGCAAATTTGTAGTGTGTGTGTTATGTAAGCTTTCCTTAGAATGTCGCAGCTGTACAGCCAGGCATAATCCAGATTTAAAACAAATTAATCCACAGAATTTGATTTGAAGGGCATATTTAGCACTTAATGTATTTACTCTCAGTGATAAGAAGTTTGATACTGACCCATTAAAGAAAATTGGTGCCCCTCTTCTCATATTTATCCACGCACAGGCACTTCACGTGATTTTTAAACTGTTTGCTTCAAGCTTTCATTCTTGTAAAAATTGTGTCTGTTGATTTTTGTTCCAGAGTGTGTTAGGTTTCCTTGGTAACCAGGAGACTAAGTGGATGTTTACTATAGAAAGTGTGGACAATAGCAAAAGATGGGCACTTGCTGGGTTTGCTCACAGATTTAACTAAAAAGAACAATGAGGCATCCTATGATTCTTGTCCTCTGAGCAAGCTGAGCCCTACCTGAGAGCTGTGAAAGCTGCCTTTCAGATGAAGCTTCCAGAGTTGTTTATTGACATTACAGTAATGAGAGGAAAAGGCAGTGAGGTTCTCAAGCATGCATTAAATTTCTGTTCAAAAAGTTATGTCCTAGAGGTGGTATATTATTTCTAGAGTTTGCTGCATGAATGAAATAAGAAACTGTACATGTTTGTAATCCCTACTACTTGGGAGGCTGAAGCAAAAGGACTGCAAGTTGGAGGCCAGCCCAAGCAAAACGGTCTTGGAGAAAGAGCTAGGGACACTGCTCAGTTGGTACAGCACCTCTGGATTTGAGCCTTGGCAACCCTCCCCTGAAAAAAAAGAAGGAAAGAGAAAGAAAGTGTGAAAATTTGAGGGAATATTTGAATTGTAAAATAAGGTTTAATTTTTTTTTCATGACTTTATCATATATTTTGGGATTTTTGCTGAGCTTTAAAAATTGTCAAATAGGGGCTGGGGAGATAGCTCAGTAGAATAAATAAGTGCTTGCTTGGCAAGTGGATGGGCCTGAGTTCAATCCATGGTTCTGAAAAAAAATATTGTCAAATACTTTTTTATTTAGTTCTTATAAGAATTCTGCCGAGTAGCTGATTTTGTTTTGTTTTGTTTTTCATAGATAAAGGCTTGGGTTTAATGAGGTTAAGTATCAGATCACACAGTTCAAGGCAGAGCTCAGATTGAAATCCAGGCTTGTCTGACCTAAGGGCCAGTGCTGTGTTTGACAGTGCTAGCTTTCCTGTTTACACATCTCCAGTGGAACCTTGTCCCCTCGTAAGCCTCAAGAAGCTTGCTCCCTCTGCACTGAGTACACACCCCATGAAGCTGGAGACTCAGAGATGAAGAACCAACCATGAGTACGTCAGTCAGCCAAAGTGAGCGGAACAAGAAGGCCCTGAGCTGTGCTCTGAACACCAGTCACTGTAGAGGAGATTTTGCAGTGTGAGGGGAAGGGCCAGGGTTGGCAGATGCCTGCCTCAGCAGGTGCTCAAGCCTTTGCTGTCTCCAAAGATCATTTCATGGTAGCATTCTCTAGTTTCACATATCAGGGTAATGGTATGTTACAAGGGTGCTTTTCTTTTTTGCTGGAATTGGTGATTAGACGATGTCTACTCACTGACTCTTTTAAGAGTGGCAATTAGGAAATTCTGTTGTGAAAGCTGAGGTGCCTAAAAGAGGGGATCTTGGATCTTACTCACATCGGATGTGCATCAGACTTGCTGACAGCCATCCTGACAGCCAGAAGGAAGAGAATACAAGAGATGGCACTGTGTGGTGGTGTGGAGCAGTCAGCACTTCTGCTCTTTGTCAGGGCAGGGATGGAGATATTTCCTGTAGAATCCTCCTAAGAGAATGTCAACACTAGGGGTCCCTATGTATATATAATGGCGAGGAATAGTAAGGGGATTGGAATAGGTTCCTGCATTTGTGTCCTCTCTGCCTCTCAAGCCACCTTCATGCCTGGGAGATTTTGCATTTGCATGTTTACCTTATGAGGGAAGGAGAGATGGTTAATCAATACTAACTAGAAAAGAGGTGGCAACCAGTGAAGAGGGAATTGTCACCTTGCCTAGCTTTGTAAAGAACTGTTTATTTTACTGGATTCCCTGCACCCCGCCCTCTTCTCTAGACAGAGGCTAGAAGAAAGAGAGAAGGGAGAACATCCCAGAGCAAAATAGTCACAAGGCCGAATAGTTCACAGTGGGAAAAGAGATTGTTTTGCATCATATATGGGTTGAAAATTTTAATTAAGATGGATGAAAATTTTCTATCTAAATATGAAATTGACCCCAGCTATGGGAATGGGAAAGGAATATTTTGACCATTCAGTGTAAATAGTGGTTGCAAGAATTAAAATCATCTCCTATCTTCATTAACCAGTTAACACACAGCAGGGGAAAGAAGACTTGTCATTTGAAAACGTGTGTTTGGGTGCATCCCAATCCTCCTGCCAAGATCAACTTTTATTGTCATTCCCAATAATAACAGATCAGGCTCTGTTGTTATTCAGGCATAAAATGTAACTGCTGAAATCTCAGATGCCAACACTAAGATAGGACCCAAGGCTGACCTTTAACTGGTTAAGAAGATACACACTGATTGAGCTTTGATAGGTTTGCTTCAGGATTAAAAGGATAGTCTGATTCTGCTTTGTTACAGTGTCATCCTGTTCATGTCTCACTTCATTCTGTTACTCTGTCATTTATCTTGTTAATCAGCAAGTCAGTACATCCCTCCTGTGGCATTAGGGATAGGGTCATAAATGAGGGTAGGGGCTTGGTCATCAGTGAGACTGATGAGTCTCCTCGTGTTCTCCATCCCAGTTCTCATTCACCCTTATGTATAAAATACTATATATAAAATTCATGTGTGTGATATATACATAATGTAGGATAACTTTTTTGGATATTTACTAATTATAAAACCATGTTTCCTGCTTTGAGGGTTCAGCTTTTGCCACATTGTTGTAAAGCTTTTAAAATAGGTGGAAGTCCTGAAAAATTATTTTAGATGGTGGATTAAGTAGTGCCATCTTTTGTTCATTAAATGAAGTACACAGTGGCTTTCAGAAAGTTTTCTTGTGCTTGCTCCTTTGCTTTTAAGTAAGACTGCAAATCAGTTCTTTCATTATAGGTAATTATCTGTTGTAAAGTCTGAACATAGTCTTAACCATAATTATGTTTTAGTTATTAAAGTAATATTAATAGTATTTTGCTTTTTATTACATACTTTTCAAAGAGTATTTGTGTGGTATGTGGTAAGTTGGCTCAACTTGAATTATTGAAGATCAAGCATAAGCAAAGTTTATGTAACATAAAGATAATTGCAAATATCCTATTAATTTGTTTTGTTTTATGAAGCTTGTTATAAGGGATAAACCAAAAGCTTTGAAAAGAAATTATATAAAAGTGACATTTTATAACACATAATTTCTGAACAATGCAATAATTTTTGAGAAAAATCTCCCCTTAAAATATTTAAGTTTTCCAAAATATGAACCTTAATAGTCTTTAAGATACAGTGTTTAATTTGGGGGTTATTAAGCTACACCTTTTATTTTAATGACTTATCCAGAAGAGAGGCAGGCCTGTTTCAGACTGGGACAGCATCCTGAGGTGCTGATATTCCCAGATAATGCTATACGTGCTAAGCCTATAGGAGCAGAGCTATGATTGAGATGTGAGCCCTGGGACAGTGGCTTTTCCTCTGCTCTTTTATTTCTATTCATTAAATTATAAACATGTGTTCTTTGTAGCAGGGAAAATACAGGAGTATCAACAGTAACAGTGATGGTGTTCCCCTGCCACTGGCATCTGCTGTCTTTCTGCTGTAACTATTGCCAAATTGGTATATTACTACATACAATTAATTTTGCTTAATGAATGTGCATAAATATAATTGTATATAATCTTAAGTTGGTTTATTTTATTAAAATAGATTATTGTGAATATTCTATAGCTTTTATACATGTATATATGTGTGTATAGAGATATATGTATAAATGTATGTTATATACACACATACATGTACATATACATACAAACATATACATATATACACATACAAATATATGTATATCTGATCTGTGCCATGATCCAGAGAATAAATAAACCGTAATTTATCCAGTCATCGTCCTATTGAGATATTCAGGTTCTTTCTATTATAAAAATATTACATTAAACATTATTGGACATGTATGTGCTGGTACTTTTAACTTTGTCAGAATCTCAGAAGTAGGAGATCTGGGTCACAAAATATCTGTGTTTTTACATAGTTGAGCTCTTTTAACTCGGCTTAGCTTTTTGAGAAGTGCTGCTTTGCATTGTCTTTGAACAGTGGGTATTTGTTGGAAGGTCCTGGCACAGGTTCTCTGCCTGGGAGTGTTCCCCTCCTTTGTGGCAGGGGCGCAGAGCAGCCCAAGGAGACTGTTTCCTAGGATGTGGTGGCCTGCTTAGTCAGACAGATGAGTGTAACATTACCAGTCACTACTCCATTCTAGAAATCTGAGCATTTCCCAGAAAAGGCAAGACTTGCCTACTTCTTCATCTTGCAACACAGGGCTAGGCCACAGTTTGAGCTTAATGAATATTTTCAGAGTCCATTATTATTTAACACATTTTGCTCTAAGATATCTAACTTCTCAGTTAATAAAAATGGTATTGAAAATGGTTTTATAAAATGTGTATTAGGTGTCTAGATTTAAGGCAGTTGGAGGAAAAGTCCCAAGACTGAAGGTCTTCATTCCCTCTCTTCATTTTATTCACTGATTCTTGCTCAGGGTTTAATTGAATATCTGCAGGACCCTTGCACATTAGAATGATGTAACTATTCATAATTGATAGCATGCTTATTGACAGTATCATACTATAAGATAGCATAATTTACTAAATCTTATACTGACAACTATGTCTGCTGATGCTCTTCTTCCAACCTGCAGATTATCATGTGTGGCATTAAATTGGAACAACTTGACTGCCACAGAGTTCCTCATCATTTGGTATCCCTAACAGGAAACTTCCAGGGGATCTCCAGGAGGGTTTATCTGTGGAGTGTTTCCCACCTGAGAAGCAAATTCATGGTGTTGTCTATAAGCTTAGCCTGAGTGCCAGAAACTACATCATGTAGTGTAGTGTCCCAGTGATTTCAACTGTGTTGTACTTCCTATGAATATCTGTAAGTTATTTTGTTTATTTGGTGCCCTGAATGTAATTGATACCTATTCTGTTTTGCTGACCACTTCAGCTTAATGCAATGGCAAATCGTGCTGCAGGGAAAGGCTATGAGAATGAAGACAATTATTCCAATATCAAGTTTCAGTTTATCGGGATAGAGAACATCCATGTCATGAGGAACAGTCTGCAGAAAATGCTGGAAGGTAAACCATTTCCTTACACATAGGTTTAACAAAATACAGTTAAATACTTTGATGCGAAAACAAAGTAAGATAGTTTTTTGCTTTTAAAATTGTTTTTGTTTTCCAGTGATGAGGTTTACATAGATGTGACAAGTTGGGGAAATAACCATGTTATAGTGATTCTTTAAAATTTAGTTGGCTTTTTTAGTTTCTTTTATGTATTGTTATGAAGCAGTTGGTGGTCCTAAGTCATAGATTCTCCAATGACACTTAACATCTAAGATAAAAAGTGCACAGAGATATTTTCTTTTTCTTCCTCATGTTAGTCTGGCTTACATTCAAGACCATTTAGAGAGAAAGCAATCCTACACTTTAAGGAAGAACCCACTGTCCTTGTGTGGAGGCCGTGCTCATGAACTGTACTGTAAAGCTGAGTGGCCTTTAGCAGGGGAGTATTGGGGGACCTTATTGCTGTGACACACATGCACATAACATCCCCCAGCACTCATGCACAGAGCAGCAACACTATAGATGTGTACACACAAACTTGTTCAAGTAGAAAATGTAGAAGTTGGATTATGTAATATGGAGATATATTTAATATAGTCATCAGCTGACTAGCAGCAATTCTACAGCATGTGCTGATGTGGTCATAAAGGCCACAGAAAAATCTGTTGTTGCCAGTCCACCACATATGGCTCCTGAGACAAGAGCACACAGAAGCCAGGCATTTGTTGCCTTGCCTAGAAAGGCTGTGTGTACACTTCAGGGAAAATATGGAAGATGGAGCTGAGTGCTAGGGCAGTAGGCTGTCTTAACAGAAAATATGGAGCCTCGGCTGATAAGGGGCAAAGAAGGTGCTGAATTATTTTTTCTGTGAATACACATTTGTTCTTTTTTTTTTTTTTTTTTTTTTTACTTTTTTTGGCAGAACCGGGGATTGAACTCAGGCCCTTGCTTTTGCCAGGCAAGTGCTTATTCTACCGAGCTATCTCCCCGGCCCCTCACATTTGTTCTGATATAGTTACTTATGCAGTTTTCTATTTAGTCAAAACAGGATGTGATGAGAACCTAGTGGTGTGGCTGCGGAAGCTTGAGGTTGCACACAGGTCTCTTTTTCCTTCTCTGTCCTGGACTTCCTTGTTTCTCTCAGTTGCTAGTATGGAGGCCTCTGGATTGAGTGTCTGCTGTTCTATAGTGCACTGTGGCATGGCTGGGCCTCTGCCACTATCCCAACCCTCAGCCCTCTCCACGGGGAGGGTGCAGTATAATTGACTCAGCACCCAGTTCCCTGAAATGAGCCTCAGTAGTTTTAATGACACAGAGATAATCCAGATACTGGCGTATAGAGAAAGCCACTTATGCCATTCTGGTAATAGCAATAAAATCAGCAACAGTAATGGTGTCTTAGACAAACTGGATGTTGATAAACCCTAAGAATCATTAATATACAGCTTTAACCAGAGAAAAGAAATCTGTAATTATAAACACCAAGGCAAACAAAATATTGATGTACAGTAAACACCTATTAAATCAAACAGGTATAGCTCTACTAACAATAGAAAAATATTCAACAATAATGGCACTTTTAACTTATTATCTAAATATTAATAAAGCTTAATGGAGAGTTGGGGATATAGCTCAGTAGAATAAGCACTTTCCTGGCAAGTGCAAGGGCCTGAGTTCAATCCCAGGTTCCTCAAAAAAAAAAAAAAGCTTAATGGTTATACTAGTACAGATAGAGGAAGTGGGAAAAGGGAGAATTTTAAAAGTTTTTTTTTTTTTATACTTACTGGCAGGGGAGATACTACGATCACAAAAAAGTTGATTTTGAAAAATTAGTCAATGAAATATGAGGAAAAAATAGTGAGCTATAGGGTCCTACTAGGAGTAAAAGGAAGGAACGGCCAAATAGCTCAGCTGATTAAAGTACCTGCAAGCAGGTGCAGGGGCCAGGGGTTCGATCCCTGGGCCTCCTGTGCGAGCCCCTCTCCTGGGGTGTGCTGAGATGGCAATTGAGACTGGGCATGGTGGCATGCACCTGTAATCCCAGCTCTTGGGAGGCTGTAAACAGGTGGATCACTATGAATCTGATCTAGTAGTGAGACCCCGAACACCCTGTAGACCTTTCCCTAAAATTAAAAAAAAAAAGGGTAACAGATAATTAGTAGAATTAGACAAAAGTGACAGAAAGGAACAAACAAGAAAAAGAAGAAAAAAGATAAAAAGCAATGAAGAATAAAAAGGAAAAAAATTAAAAAGAAAGGAAAAAAAACCCCCCCCCCCCCCCCGCCCTCCTTTGTACTTCTGAAAGAGTGATTTCTTTCTAGGATCTACAGTCCTAGAATCCAATAGGTCATTTTTTCCTCTCCTAGCTTTAAGTGCTTTGTGTTTATGAGGTGCCTTTTCTACTTCATCCCTGTTCCTCAAACTGTGGTTAACATCTAAGCCAAGTGTGTTGTTGGTCATGTTGATAGATTGGGAAAGCAATCAGACTACTTGTCTTTGCTGGATATAGGCAGTGAGTGAGGGTTCAAGCAGATCACTGGACTTAATGCTTATAATTTGAGATCCAGTGCCTCTGAAAGCCCTATTCACTGGGCCTGGTTTCTCACCACAGAGAGTTGGGCCTATGTTCTGTACTTCGCTTAAACTTGTCAAGGGTCTGTGTCTAGCCTTCACTCTTTTGGCAACTGTCTCTTGTAGCTGCCTTCTCACCTAGTTACTGTGGTGAGGTGACACTGGAAACCCTGAAATGTAGTTCTGCAGTTGTTCTATGGCTCAATCAACAATTAAACCTTCTCAGGATGGTTCTAGTGTAAACTCTCTCGAACATGACAGGTGCTGCAGTGGATTTGTCCTTCAACTCTAGCCTGCTGTGAGGGAGTCACTTTTGGAATATATACCCAAGCTGTTTTTGTAGTTTACAATAGCTCTGGGCTTTTCTTGAGGCTAGCCCTGCTGGCCTGTTCCCTAATTTCTTCTTGGATCGGCCAGTCCCCAGGCTTTCTTTTTTTCCCTGGACATTAGCTTCCTACACTTTCAGGCAAGTCGGCTGCTCAGTGCCTCTGCTGTCCTTGTTGGCAGTTGGCAGATGGCTGCAGCCAGGGCTCAGAATTCACAGTCATGGAGTTGGTCAGAACCAAACATATACTGTCATCTATGTGATATGGCTCTGTCATCCCAGCTTTGGTGCCATTATTGAAAAGGTAGTCTAGTGTAAAGTGTTTATCATTAAAAACTTTTATAATTGTTGATAAGCTTGATGCTTTTCAAGTAGCAGTTTCATAAAATGACTTCAGAATAACAACAAAAAGTTTCCTGGAGACAGTTAATCCCAGGTATTCCCAATAGATGTAAACTTGATTTTAGTTTCTAAATCAGCATTTCACCTCTGAACCCTTATCCCTATGATCTCACTGTGTTTTTCTAAAGAACAAGCTAACTGACTGACCAGGTTTCTGAAGGCAGCTTTCTGTTTCATAAGGGATCGTGGGTACCGGTACGTAACATTCCCCACTTCATCAGAAACAGGAATTTAGGGCCATGTTCACATCCTATGTAGATAATTTTATACACGCTGATTTAATTTTTCATGGTGATTCATAAGTTCTAGACCAAATTATTTTTGTGATTTGTAGCTATTAAGAAGATAACTTTTGAGGGCTGGCCAGATAGCTCAGCAGACCAAAGCACCTTCTTAAGCAGAACGCAACATCCGGGTTTGATCCCTGGCATGCCGTACTGGCCCTGCCCCCAGGGCTCTCTGAGATGGTGATTGAGACTGGGCTTGGTGGTGTGTACCTGTAATCCCAGTGGTTGAGAGACTGAAAGCAGGAGAATTACTACGAGTCTGATCTATGTAGTGAGACCCTGTACTAAATACATAAAAAAAGATAACTTTCATTTACATAGTGATTTTGTTACTTATTAAATGCTTTCATAATAGTTCTCCTTTTAATCCTATAGAGTAGGATTCCCTAAGTCTTAGGCCACTGACTATTAGGAACTTGGCCACATAGCAGCAAGGAAGTGGTGGATGAGAAAGTGAGGTTTACTTTGTGCTTGCAGTTGCTCCCTATTGCTCACATTACTGTCCGAGTTCTGCTCTTCTCGTAGGAGCACATATCCAACTGTGCACTGGGCATCCAAGGGATTTAGATTGCATGCTTCTTATGAGAGTCTCATCCAAAGTGGAGTTGAGTTAGTTTTGGCTCACAGTTTATAGAGCTTTGAGTCCATAGTCAGCTGGTTCTAGGCAGGGTGGCATGGCAGAGCAGAAATCATCTGTGGGAGGGCACATAAGAAGCAGGAAGCAGCACCCTCCCTTTCTCTTTTTATTCTAAGCCTCACCAAAATGAATGAAAAACAAAAATCAGTGGAGAGTTCTTTTGAGAAGGAAGAGAGACCCAATGATAAGGCAGCAGAAACCTCGAAGGCTGCCAAAAAAAAAACCACTGCCTTTAAAAGAAAATATCACAAGTCCTATTTATGCCATGGGTTTATTGCAGCAGGTGATTCTCACTCTCCATCCTGCTCAGTGGTTTAAGTGCCAGCCATGGTGACTGGCTGTCTGAGGAAGGCATGAATCTTTCAAGTCTTCTTTGCCACATGGAGACCAAGCACTCTCCATTAACACACAAATAGTTTTTCAAAGAAAAAACCATACACATGAAAAAAAGAAGTAAGGGCTGGCGAAATAGCACAATGGACTAAAGGCCCTGCTTATACAGCCTGAGGACCAGGGTTTGATCCCTGGCATGCCGTGGTAGCCCTGACCCCCAGGGTGCACTGAGAATGTGACTGAGACTGGGCCTGGTGGTGCACGCCTGTGATCCCAGCGCTTGGGAGGCCACAAACAGGATCACTAGGAGACTGATCTGTGTAGCGAGACCCTGTAGTCCCTGTTCTAAAATACATTAAAAAAAAGAGAAGTGATTATTGAAGGCATGACTTCCTCAATGTATCTTCACTAGAGGCATCATTTCTAGTGACTGATTGCATTGCTAAAGCTAGGAAGT